AACAAATAGGGTTGTCTAATGCTAACCACATGCACTGAGCTGTCCAAGCCCACTTAAAGCAGTAGAGAAGACTTGGTCTTGGGCACTGCTGCTACATGCAGAGGTCCTGCTTCTGAGAGTGGAAAGCCTTTCTGTTATTAGTTAGAAGATAGAAAGGGATAAAATGTTAGCTTTTTGTCATAAGCACTGCCTCACAGTTTTGCTGCCATGGTGTGGTAGTGATGGTCCACAGGGAAAACAGAGGAATTTGTAATATATGATTTTATATATATATATATGTAAATATATATATACATAGATGCACACAAACACACACACACTGTATATATATGTATATATATATATGCACACTTCTCTGTCTTCTGTATGGTGCGACTACACAGACCCTGATCAGCAGAATGTAATCACTCCGTTTGATGTGGTGGGTAYGGCGCAAACTTCACTGGTAAGAAACCAGAAGGAAGATGAAGTGAYTTGTTGGGGGCCACAAAAAAAGGCCACCTGTGGTAAGAATAAATCTTAGGAGTTCTGGTTTCAGTTACCTGATTTAATTACAAGGGTGTTTTCTCCTAAATATTACAGAATACATAGTCATTTTGTGTTGGTGCACATATGTTTGTTTCAGATTGCAAAGTGTTTTTCATCAAAAAAAAAGAAAAAGAAAAAAAAATGTTCCTTGTATGGAAAAACTCCTGATACTGTCAGAAACAATTTTTTTAATTGTGAAATATACTGTATTTCACAATTAATAATTGGCATGAAATTAATGCCAATAAATAAATTAAACCAGTATTGCCACCATAAGCATTAGAAATGACAAAATTGACTAAAAACCACCTTTGAAAGTTAGGAATGTTTGCTCATTTTTTATTATGTCCTGTTTTTAGCCACTTGAAATCATAAAAGTAGTTTTCCTTCTCTTCCATGTAAATGGAAGTGTTCTCATATAAGTACAAAGATGCACAGTCCAGATACAAATCATGTGGTGACTAATGGCTCTTATGTAAACAMACATTTCTTAATAGATGCATGTAGTATCATTCTCTTTGTAAAACAAGAAAAAGTAGTTGTAGGATAAATGAATAATGCACTTAAGACATAACACAGTTTTCATTCTTCRTCTGCAGCGAGGTCAATGCGTTTTGCTTTACAGTCGGGCTGCATCCTGAATGCTCTCATAAGTTGCTGAAATACTCTGAAAACTCTCCCTTTTGGGGAGAACCAGTTAAATAAATCAGCCCACTGGTGTGAGTAGCCAACYGACCTGTAGGCTTTAGGAAACAACGCTGATAAGCTACATATGAGTGAGGAAATAGAAAGTTCTTAAAAATAAAGTAGGTATCTCTTGTTGAATAGATTGTGCATTGGGTTCAGGATCAACAGCAACTAATTGTATTGGCTGTACGTACCAATTTGAAACTTAATTTAAAAAAAAAAATCTTTCCAAAGAAACAAAATTGATTGTCTCAAGTTGCAGCACCTATGATGAATTTGCATAGGTGCTAACATAACTTGACCAGCCAAAGACAGCTGGAGGCACATGATGGTGCTTTAAGTTGCTGTAGCATCATATTCATAAATGTTTAATTACCCATATTTTGGTTGAATTGTTTCTGTTAAGATCGGGTTTTTGCTTTGGAAGGATGGGGAAAATCTTCTTTCAGAAAGAATCTTTCAAATACGTGGTTGGATTGAAGYGTTTCACTTATCCGTGCCCGTTACAGGCAGCCGTTTCCCTTGTGGAATTTCACGTATGAGTGTGTGCACCATGTGTTTGCTGTTGTATTGAGAATAAATTCTTTTGCCTTTTGAAAATATTTCCTGCTTGCTTCAACCATTAGAATGAAATTCTTGCTGAATCTGTAATGATGAGGGTCTGTCTCTAGTTTATAAAAATCAAATTCCAGTTCAAGATGGAAAATTGGCTTCTGTTTTGTGACGTTAATGTTCTGTTTGTGTGCGTTAACTATTTACCTTAAGCAGAACACAGGGACACTGAGCTAATTTTTCTGGGTTCCTACAGATTGATCTTGCTAGGATCGGAAATGCAGGAACTTTGTGTGATGTTCAGTTCTACAAGAAGGGTGTTTGTCTGCTTCATGAGACCTGCTCTGGAGAAAACCAGAGCTAAAATAGCAGTGACTTTACTGAAAAGCTGAACTGTGCAGGTGAGCATTAGGACTGAAGGGAGGTGGTTTTAGGCTGATTTTGGCCGAGTTAAAGGATCTTTTAGGCTGAGGCATCTATAGGTGCTGAGATACCGTCAGAATGACTAGGCTGTAATTGCACTGCCTGCATCTTGGCTGGTTATAGCTGCTGCTTTTTACTCCAAAGATCCATTTCTTAGTTTGAGCATCTGGCCCAGACTACTCTGTGGGGACGAAAGAGACCACAAGCAGAATTACCACGTTAGTTTTTTGTTTTAAAATCCATTCTGTGAGTTGAAACAGAGCTATGGCCATGCTGAGATCCATTTTAATTCATTCTTTTAATTAGGTGAGTTTTTCAGTGCAGTTGCTTACTCTTGCCTCTCCTTTAGTCTGGCCTCAAATGCCCAGTAAATGACCAAGCCTGATACCTACCTACAAGCCCTTTATTTTCAGGGGCTCCAGCATCAGCCTATATGTTGCCTTAACTTTGTTTACCAGCTTTGGCTTTGTGGGATGGCAGCCCCGTGGGCGCCAGCGCCTGGGATCCCGCTGGCGCAGGAGGCCTCCCCTTCTACATTCCCTCTCCTTATGCCTCATGGTCCCTCCTCTGCGGCTGCAGGAGGGGCCCCCTTTTTATGACTCACCCTCCTGCCCCCCTTCCCTCCCTCATGCTGCTCCCTGGCCGGGCTGCTAACCCTTAGTGCGCCAGCGCTGCCGCTTCGGAGGACGTGCTCGCCCTGTCCCGCCGCTGCCCAGCGCTGCTTTGCTGCCACAGAAGATCACATGCGGGCAAAACGCTGTAATTGGTGGTACCTTGAAAGCCTCTGCTTGGAGTTGTGCAGCTTTGGTGTCCAAAGATGTTGGTAGGGGCCTCCGACTGAAGCACTCGTAGGAAAACAGGGCTGAATTCCTTATAAAGCAAAGTCAACGTGTTGTTTTGCAATTGATTGTGGAACATTTATAACATTGTGTTAGCCAGCAATAATAACTGCTGACAGTCACATGCCTAATGACAATAGTAATGGTTAAACTTTGTCTGCTTTTTTTTTTATTTGTTTCTAATTATGGAAGGAAATGAAGGAATTACTAGTTATTATCTTCCTTGAGAAGTACTCTACTTCTAAGAGTGCTAGTTATTATCTTCCTTGAGAAGAAGCTGTGATGGTGCTTGTTAAGTTTCTTTGGTTTACCAGCAGTGGGGCATAGGCTTATAAGTGGCATCCCGTAAATAAAATTTATGACTGTGACTGATATTTTACTTTGTGCTAAACTAAAGTCTCACATAGTGTTCACTTGAAAATATTGAAAGCAGCCTTRCTGGATATGCCTTCATTTAATTAAAAAAAAAAAAAAAAGTATATTGTTGTTCCCTTATATGGCATTTTTGCTTGGTGTTATGCCGTGTGCTGGGCAACCCTCTGCAGAAGAAAACTGCTGCTGCTGGGACATAAAGCTGTGATTCAGCTCGCCAAGGTTGCCTCCTCTCTGCCTTTGTGCAGCATACAAATGTGTTAGTAAGAATCATTTACCTGGTAGCCTCTGCTCAGAGCTCTGGCTGCAGGGCCTTGCTGTCATGGGCAAGCTGCTCGCCCACAAAGGGCGGGAGAAGAGTGTGGAAACACCTCACACAGCAAGAAAGAGCAGGCGGTGAAAGGGCTGCTGCTGTTTCCTACCTTTTTGCTGAGGAATCACATATTGGGCACTGCTGGGGCCMCTGGATGGGTGAACAGGCTCATGTGGTACGACAGATTTGATGCTTCTATTGAAAGGCATCCTTTCCAATATGTAATATTGTGATCTGTGGTTTCAGATCTTCACACAGTCTGTTCTTACAATGACCCTCATAAGACTGTTCCTTCTCTCYGCTTTGCTTTGCATTTACTATCAGTGCATTTATTTCCTAGTGTCCTTGGGTCAGGGAGCTACCATGTGGGAACAAACCTCAATGAAAACTGGAGGATTCAAAACTAAGTCTCAAAATATAGCAGTGTGCAGAAGAATTTGTCCTCATTTGGGACTTAGCAAAGTTACAGGTGTAGTTAATTGAGTGAAAGCCCTTAGATTTGTAATATTTTCCTCCTATGACTGGAGACTGGTARAATACTATGACCTGTTGCTAACACATTACTTCTCATACTCATTTCTGAGCTGGTTCAGGTGCCAGTCTGAACCAGAAGATCCAGATGAACCAGAAAGAAGTTGCATAGTTCTCCAAAACACTGTGTTACTGTGGGATTTATATTTAGGTATCAAATGTATGTAAATCTTGTTTGCATCCAATTAACAAATAAATTTCATTAATATCTTATAGCAGTGAGTCACATGAAATAAAAGTTATGTTTCAAAAAATACATGTGGTTATTATTTTTGCAAGTCTTCTGTGGGTAAATATTTTAATATATTTGTGAAAGTAACTAATTGAAATGATGAGAAAAGGGTAGCTAAGATTTACAACAAATCATGGCCTGACCTCTAAAGGGGCAGTCTTTCCAGAAGCAGTGGAAGCCTTGGAATTCTTTTCCTGTTATATTTTTAGATGGTACTAAAAATCAAGCTGTGTTTTGTAGATGTTTTTTGCTCTTCCTGCTTTCAAGTAAATTACTTGTACATAGAGAAATTGAAGCATGTGCTTGCTGAATTTGAGAGAGACAAACGTGATTGATGCCCACAGTTCTACTCTGCCAAAACACATGCCAGGAGGTAGATAACAAATATATAGGTTTAACCAATCTTGCTTTTTTAGACTAGGATTAGACAAAAAGGCCTGGTTACTGCTGGGGAAAGTGGAATTTTAAAATCCATATTTATTAGTTCACTTAAACAACCTCTTGTTTTCTGTTTCCRTTATAGATCGTGTTTACTTGGTAGATACGTTAGCTGGAGATCCAAAGCTTCTCCAAGCAGATGCTGAAATGTATTATGAGAAACTCCTGAAGAAATCGTTGTCTACCCCTGACATTTTGTCCATCCCTGGAGGAGAAAAGGTAAATAGGGTGATGCTTTTTCTTACTGAGAGTTAGATCCAGTAAAAGCTAGTTTGTTGGGTGTGCTAATAGACTGTTGAACAGGTTGGAAATGTCTTAAAATCAGCAGATTTTGATTAATTTCAAATARTTTGCATCCTGGAAGTTAGAGAAACTGTAACTCCAAAACCTTCCGGAGAGTGGATGAGCATTGAAAGTGTTAGCACCTTCACCCTTCTTGCACGACTGAGTCAAGGTTGAACCTGGTAGAGGTTTAAACAGGCTCTAACACAGCCTGTTTCCTGTTGCCTTTCCTTGCAAGAGTTGTCTTGATAATTTTAACTGTGGGTTCTTATGGAACAGTTTTCCTTATAGATGGTATAAATGCTCTAAGTGCCAATGCTTTAGTATCCAGTCCTGAGGCACCTAAAGAATGGGTTGGAGATGACTAAATAAGCCTATGAAAAATTCCTGTATTAGTCAACATATGATATTTTATTTTCTGGGAATTTTCTGGATGATGAAAGATGTTCTGGACTAGCTGTTACTGTGCTATCAAAGCAGAAAGTATGTTAGATAAATGCTTCTGTGGAATCAAGGGTCTCTTCTACAGTTGAAGAAAAAATATATGCAGTAGTTTCCAGAAAGATGTTCTGCAAGAGGGGTAGCTTTGTGTTTGAGCAGTGATTATTAGTAACTTTAAGTACTCTCTTAATGCCCTCTAGTGGACTGTGGAGGGTTAAATACCAACAAACCTGAAAACGCAAAGATCTCTCAGTTCCAGGCTATCCTTAGCTCAGCTTTCCATGTCTAGTTGCAATTTTGAAGTTCATTTATCCTTTAATCAGAAAGGAGGGTAGTATAAAATCCCAGGCAGTGCTATAAAGTACTCATGTAATAGTCACAGGGAGATCAGTTAAATGTCGATTTTGGCTTTTGATTCACAACTGTCTCAATTTTGTGTCTTGTCATCAGACTTTAACATGTCACATGGCTGATTTGAGTCTCATAGCAACAGATTACACTTTGCATTCATTTAATGCAGATCTAACCTAGTCTGCACTCAGATTTCCTTATAAACTGTAAGCTATATTTCCACGCACGTTGATATTTTGTAATTAAAAATAAATATAATAAGGTTAAGATCGCATCCTTAGATATTTGACCTAAAAATCCCTAGTCTAAACCTACAACCTGAAGGCTGAGGATTTTGGTATTTGGATAATCAGCTGTTGTTGCCGTCCTTTTTTCCCTCTGCGCAGCTGAATCAAAGCAGGTTTCAGGTGGCAGGTCCAGCAGCTGTGCACARTTAGATGGCAAGAGTTAGGAAACTGTCAGGCCACTTACTCAGGGCACAGATCTTCTTTTTGGTGTGTGCTAGTCTTTGCTCAAGCATTCAGGAAGGATTATTTCAAGTCAGGATGAGAGTATGTGGACAGGACCAACTATGCTTGGCTGTGTTAATGTTATTAACACCCATGAAAAATGCAACAAAAAAGTCTTAGTGATAGGATTGGAAATAGGACTGATCTTTTTGACAGTGATGCTGTTATATTTGTAGCAAGAAAAGAAGGGCCAAGTCTCCAGAACACGCTGAGGTTTCAGGAAGCTCATGCCTACAGATTTCAGGCAGTTTTCAGTTTATCTTCAGGAGCCTAGTTTTTGCAGAGATGACCCCAGGTTTCTGTTACTGACGATCTAATGAGCACTGATTTCAATTTAAGATTAGTATCTTGATAATCCATATTCATGCTACTCTTTCCATGCACCGAGACATATTAAATGCATCACATGACTGATTAGAGTTTCACAGCAAACTCACAAATGGGTGCAATTTGAGAGGCACACCCACACACACACAATGGACCAGATTTCCAAAGTGCAGCATAGACTGTGCTAAATTATGCACGATCCCTGCCTGCACCTAAACCTACATGAGAGCATTTTCAATATGCATGTGGAAATCATCACCATCTCTATGCATAGCGAGCTGCTTGAGCACCGTAATTTTGTGTTTATGCATCACATCATTTATAGTGTAGTCTGAGAGGTTGAGAGCTGCGTTCTGGTTTTAGCTTTCCCTGCAACTTTACCACCTTGTGCCAATTATCTACCCTCCCTGTGCCTCACAGATAAACTGCCCAGGCACTGCCCTAATGCTTTGATACTCCCTGTGCCCTGAGGCTTAATTCATTGTTTGCAAAACACCACAAATCCTCAGCTGGACGATGCTGAAAGATGGTGCAAGTTGTATTTGTTTTTATTTGATACAAATGTGTCTGGTCTTTCATAACACCATTTGTCTGCATGTGATGGGTCGTGCTCTGTAAGAGCGTTCAAAGGCAGGGATATACTAATCATAAGTCAGTATTAAGGTCGTTGCTAACTTTACTAGCTGATTCCTTTTAAAATAACATACTGATAATATTGGAATATTATGTGTATATCACTTAGTGTCTTGACGTTAAAGSTTGAGCTTATCCCATGCATGTTAATAAAACAAGCCGTAAGTGCATCGAATACATTAAGTGCTCTTGCCAGCTTTGCACTACAAACAGCTACAAGGCTTTTTTGTTTTTTAGGTTAAACTTGAAGATTCCTGTGTGTGTTTTGTCCCTCTCTACCGAAATAACCCTGCTTGCAAAATGCTGCTGTTCACTGATCCACAGGATAAAGAGACAGGTTAGACTTGGTCAAGTATTTTGAATTTGGAGTAGTTGCGCTTTCTTTAAAGTTGGCCTGCTGGTTTACATACGTAAGTATTACTGCCCTTGTTTGGAATATGAAGCAGATTCCATACACTGTTCAGGGATTTGTATGAGTGGGCTACTGATTCAGAAGGGAGGGATGACAATCAGGGTTTTCAAAATTATTTGCATTGCTCTGCTACTGGTGCAAGAATGACTTTGGGTATATCCCTTATTCTCTCTGACCTCGTTCAGTGGGATGTAAGATATTGTGAAATGTAATGGATGGAACTGTTGGATAGAACCAGAGCAAATCACGTATATGTGAAATGGTATCAAGTTTTACTGATTCTTTTTCATATTATTTCACTGTGTGGTRTTGTGTTCAGTTCTAGGTTTAATTGCCTTCTACTTCTGGCACTGGCCTGCAAGCTGGACAGAGGACATGCTCAGGAATGGAGTTATACTCATTTTATTTGGCGTTTCTCCCAAAATGAGCTTTAAAATTTACTGGCTTTGCCTTGCTGACTACTCATAATGCTGGTGTTTTCCGATTGCAGCCATGTGTCATCCTGACAGGGATCCACTGCTGTCCAGTTATAGGCAACAGCAGTCAGTATGAGATGGCTGATGTTTCTTTCTCCTGAGTCACTGCTAGAATTATCAACAGGTTCTTAAGATTTGAGGTAATAACTGTATCTTAAGTTTTCTCTTCCTGCTGTCAGGATCACAGTGACTCCAGATATAGCCCAGTGTCTTCCCACTTATTCTCAGGCAGGTGTGTGGGACTGTATCTGCTTTGTGAAAAGCTGCAAATGTAAAATAAGTAGCAAACCTCGATACTCCTGTCAGTAACAGTAACTTTGACTCTGGGTTGCATAGTACCAAAGCACAGGTGTAACTCATGAACTAAAGAGATTTGGCTGTTTTGGAGCCACAGATTATATCATTTTTGGAGCAACTACAATGAAGACATGAACTATGTGCTGACCCATTACGYTATATATCACTTAGATAATCTTGCAGAATACAGGAAGCCTTGACTCTATAACCTGTTAAACTTTAAACTCCCAAATGTGGCAGCACACTAGTGAGATCTGTCACCAGAACCACATCTGACTTTTTTTTTTTTTCCCAATGGAAGGTTAAGCTATAAATTTTTCTCGGAAGAAACTTGCAACCAGCATTTTAAATAATACAATAAAGACAAGGCTTACATGTTTAGCACTGCGGATTCAGTTCTTGGAGTGGCAGGTTGTGATCTTGCAGTTCTTGAACAGGCACTGTTAGTGTAACTAGGGATTCATTGCTTCAGCCTAAAGCCTGCAACAAAGAAATTTCTTCATAAGAGCAACAACAAAAACCCAACAGATTAAAATCATCTGGGGATGAAGGTGAACTCTGTGGAGCTTTCCAGCTCCTTTTACATACCCTTTCAATTGACAGCTCACTAATGTGCTGTGATTCACATAGTTTGAAGGTGGGGAAACTTTTCAAGATAAAAACATACTTCAGTCTACAGTTTATGATCTCTCTAAAACTATTGAAATAGAAGTGCTTTCCTGACATTGATTTATRTTATATTTCATGTTGACATTTTTATGAAGAGGCACTGGTGTGATAAAGGCGAGAAGCATGTGCAGCAGAAGCTGTGGTTGCAGTGGTGCACACTTACTGACTTGTGTTCAAAAGAATGTAGTTAAAAACCCCATGAAGTTGGTTCAGGTTGCTCCGGAGTCACACAAGTCCGCAGTGGGGACTAAATCATATCATAGTTATCTACACTCAAAGCTTAAACCTAGCAAGATAAGCTGCTGCTTGTATTTTGAGCAACAAAGTGAATTACTTCTGTAAGCCCTTTGCAAACCTTCAGCTTGCCTCACTGGCCTATGGTCACAGAAAGAGTCCCACGGAGATTGATAACTGTAGGTGTTTAAGCAATGCCTGCTTCACCTGGCCTTTAGTATTGCCTTTTGAAATACGATTTAAGGCTTTTTCCTGGAAGTTCTCTGTTTCTGGACTTTACGTGCTGTAAGCTTGTGGCCAACATTAATAGATGTGAAAGATATAATTCCTATGTAAGTTAGACTTCTTTAAAAAAAAAAAAAAAAAAAAAAAAGAAATTGAGCTGAATTTTAGTAAATTTTCATTAGTTCTCTGAAGTCTGCTGCTGTGTGTGTATGTGTGTATATACGAGTAAAGGTATTGTAAATATTTTACTCAAATATGTTTCCCATGATTTAGCAGATTTGGAATCGACTCTTATGGCACAAGGCTCTGTCATTTCCCAAGTCCACCTGGGTTTGTTTACCTGTCTCCCCTTTCATTCTAACCTGCAAACAGATCAGATAGTTTCAAAAGGAATTTTTAAGGGGAAAAATTATTAATTCACTCACTAGGCAAAGAGTTAAAACACTGAACGGTTTGTAGGATTCTTTTTTACTCACAGTTGACTCTCTTCTGAGCTGTRGTTTATCCAGCTGAGAAGACACTACCAATTTTGCAGTAGCTCAGCCCTTTTCCTCATGCTCTCTGGGTGTTTCTGAGTTTCAACTCACATCAGGAGTGCTCTTAAAAGCAAGTTTCCTGATTGTCCCGATACACTGTGTTTTGGCTCATATAAAGGGACGGTCCTGGTGTGTCTGAGCTGAGTTGTGTTTGGCTGAAATGGAAATTGGTGACATGCTCCAGATGCGCCTGATGTGCCCCAGCCACTGATGGGTTTTCAGCTTTCATCACTAGGCTAGAATTTGTGAGTATCAGTTCTCTGCACCAACAGTTTGGGCCTGCAGATTCACATTTCTTAGTCTTGCTAATGCAGCCACGGTCACTGGACCCCTGCAGGGCACTCAGGCCTCTTAGAAGTTATCCTGCTTTATAGCTTGACCTTGTCCCGCTTTAAAAAAAACTGTTGCTCCTCCATTCTGCATCTTTCTCCCTTCATCCTTCCCAATCCATGAGCTCCCCGAGCCAGTGGAACTTAGAATACTCAAAGGGAGAGGGGCTGTGCTGAGAATTGACTGGAAATAGAGTAGAAATTGCAACTAATGACAAGGGAGACATCCTTAGATGTTGGTCTCGTGTCCCATTGTGGGTAGTGGAGCAGAGAGCAGCCGTGCAGTCCTTGCTTGGTCCTGCCCATCCTGCAGGCTGCTTTGAGGCTGCACCTGCTGTGYTTCTTAGTTTCTTTTGTTTTTATATCTGTAATAGATAACTACTGCATATACAGATAAAGCAGCTTATATGATGGTTAAGTGTAATAACCACAGGAATATACTTATTTTTATGCAGTTCCTGAAACAGATATTGTCAAACTAACGGTTTATGTTTTTGTTGTGTATTCCAATAGTTTGGATTCTGAAAAAATATGAATTTTGAAAATTTGAATGAATCTGAACAGTATAGATAGAAGTTTACCTCTGAGTAGACGTAGAGTTTGATTCTTGGGCACAAGTTAGAGAGGGATTGATTGCAACAGATTTATATCTGATCATCTTGATCAGGTAGATTGTGCAGAAGTGACGCTTAGCTTGTGCTCTGACATGACCTGTGTGCAGCAGAGAGCAAATGAATGTGGCAGCTTTTCCACAGGACTTGGTCTTGCTTGGGAGCATTTTTAATTTATTTGTGATTGACTGAGTGTTCGGTTACTGTATCTGTATGGATATTTTTATGAGAATGTAAATTGTGCTGTAAGGGCTTACAGAGCATAGCGTGGGTGATCAGCATCTTTATATCACTAAATAAACATACTCCATTGTGGCATTTTCTGCATGCTGTATATGATAATTTAAAATAACTGCTAGATGCTATGGAACATTTATCACAAGACATTTGCAACAAATCATTGAGTCAAACTTGAATTGTTGAAAAAGATGTAATTAGTTGCAGGAAAGATATCTTAGATACTTGAACAGCTGCCATTGCTGGAGCATCTGCCTGCCTCCTATGCTTTAATGCATTTTTTTGCATAAGATTCTTAAGAAAGATAAAAATGCTTTTCTTCCATTTTAAATATAAGGGACTGGGGGAYCCAGCTACTCAGTGTACGTAGATGTTTGCAAACTGCAGTTTGACATTTGTATGTTTGAACTCGCTCCACTATCATAGGTGACCTAGGCATTGTTGTGTGGAATTTCTTGTGAGGGTAATTTACTACTCTCTTTCCATGGTGGAAATGTGGCCAAAGTGACCTATAATCTGACATGTACCATCAATCGGAAATACTTCCAAAATTAAGGAAAAAATAATGTCACACAATTCAGCATTGATCAGTACTGGTTTTCCAAGTGCCCTTAGTGATATGTGTAGCCTTTTCACCTAGTCTTGCCATTGCATTGGGCTGAGACCTGTGTATGGACAGGGTTTAGGTGATGCACAGAACTYAGTGAATTCCAATAACTTTACCTTTTTGAGCAGGCGAATATTACCTGGGGTCTTGGAAAGAATAATAAGGCTTGGGAAAGGAGAGTGAAGGAACATATGCTGTCACAAAAGATGTTTGCATTTGCAATAGCGTTCTTCAGAGTTGATTATAAAATGAAAATGAGAGCATGAATGGGTTTAACTGTGAACCAGATGTTGACTTGAGAACTGATAACAAAAAGCAAAGTACATATGTGTTTGTGGAATCTGGAGAACGGCTTTTGCTTTCAAGGAAGGCATCTGTATAGATAAGGTTGCTCAAGTGATGTGGCAGTTGCTATGTCAACCAGTGTTCTCCCCCCCACACACATTTAAATTATTGAATATCACAGTAACTGCTATAAAAGCAGCTCCTTGGAACGTGGTTGTGCATCCTCCTGTTTTCAGCAAAGCTTTTTCGAACTTTTCTGACCTTTCCTTTGCACTTTGTATGTGCCTGGACCATGTGTCACATCTCTGTGCAGTCCCCACTGAGGGCAGCATCTGGCTGCATAATATTAAACAAAGTGGATCTGGGACTATAAACAGGCATCTGCCCTTGCGTGCTATAGTTTCTTCATTGTTAATCCAGTCCACAAAGTGTAACACTTTTTGGCATGTGCTTTAATAATTTATTCACAATATAAGTTAGCTAAGCAGAATCTCCAGCCTGAGAGCCAGTGAGAGCTGGAAAAGGTTGAGGCAAAAAAGGAAACCTGTGCACGTTAGAAACATTTGTATAATCTGAGGCTAAAACAGGTAAATGATGAATCCTTTTAAAGCTGTTTCACTTGCTTGTKTGTAAATTTGTCTCTGTTAGATGGCTTTTAACTTTGCCATGTTTGTCCGTAGCTGGATAGCTTTAAGAACTGGTAGGCAGTGTGCTCTGTTAGACCTTGAGATATCTGAACTCCATCCTGATCTTTGCAACCTATTTCCTATATTATATTTGATTTCTGTCTGAAAAAGGGAAAGCAGGTGGCACTATCTAAAGGTAGTAAGTACCCTGGTGTTCTTGAGCACTCCTGGAGTCATGGACACTGTGCAGATAATAGTTCTTTTTGCTGCAGTGTTTGCTTCTTGGTGTGTCTGTGATCATAAAAGACTTAATGCCTGTCTTTATTTTAAAAACAAATCTAAGTCTTTAAAAACTGATACCCTTTGAATTGCCTCTGCTAAAAGTTTTCTTTCTGATCAGCACTTGGGAGGAATTTCAGTCTTACTACTTTGATCTTTCTACTGTAAATCTAGTGGCAAGAATGAATTCTGTAGATAGGGAGTTGGTTTTTTAAATACTTGCTTCTGGATGTGTGAAGAACTCAGGAAGGGGTGGAAAGAAGTGGAATGTAAGTTCTGCATAGTAATATATAGGCTTGTAATAAACTTTTGCTTCAGGTCCAAGTTTGTGTTATGTATCTGTACRTATATCTGCCCTTTGTGGATGGAAAGGTGCATTTGAAGTGTGTTCTGTCCRTGCAGAATTAGAGGATATGCAGTCTAAAGGTGCAGATACACAGAAACTTTATCATGTGGGCAGCCAAAAAAGGGTTTGATGGAGCAGATATGAAAAGCTTGGGGGCTTGAATTACGTGGATGCGAGCATGGATATGTGTGCGTGTGTACAGCTGAAGATGTCAAGGAAGTTAATTTGTAAATTCCAGAAAGTGGCTCTGTGTCCCAAATGCCACTCAATTATACTGCAATACTATAATAATATTGTCCAGGAAGTGCTTTACTCACATGGCACAAAGGTCGTCCTACTGAAGTTAAAGCAGTTTGTCTTTCAATTTATCTTACTTGATGCTCTGTTCCGTATTGAGAGTTGCATATAAAGGGACGTGGAGGTGATACGGAAACCCTGCCAGTGTCCCAGCAAAGCAAAGTCAAGTCAGCAGGAGGGAGAGCGGGGTGTGAGGCTGCTTGTGGCAAGTGTAGAGCCACATACYTGTCTCGAGTTGATCCGTACTTGTATTTTTCTTTTTGTAGTTTTGGCAGTTTATTTGAAYCAGTCCTGGTGGCCGATCGAAGATGTAATAAAGACAGCTGATCCTTCCAGAGATGGGCTGATTTTGGTAAGGATACTGCTCTAAACATTTCCTTCCCCCTGGAGCTACAGCAATCATAGGCACTCCTCTCTGGTCTCCCTTAGCTCATGTTTTATAACTTGTGAGTTCTCGGGTACGTTGCTCACCGAGTACTTTCAATGTCTCCCATCCCACGGTGACAGCAGTGACATGCACGTTCACCCTCTCTAAACAATTTTCTGCCATGCAACTTATGATTCATCTGTGGGATTCATTCTTTGTGTTTTTAACTTTGCCCTCATTGCCAGCTAAAGAAATGAGCAGGTAAACAGAGTTACTGCATTAGCAATAACTCTTCACATTAGTGCTGCTTGACTGTCTGAAGGGAGGTGTTTCYGCCCTTTGGAACAATGTCTTACCTAGCTATTTGCAATTTTTTTTTTTGTCTTCGAAAGTGTTTATATTGTGTTTTTTTAAGGAACTACTATTTAATAGGTTTTGAATGTATAACTTAATGGATTTTAAATTTGTAATTCTTTCAGAATAAATAGTCTTGGTAGGATACAACCATTTTTACATGGARCAGTAGAAAAAAATATTTATATTATCCTGTCTGGACCAATTCATGAGGTATTTTCTCCAAGTTTCATGCACATGTTCCCTGACCACTTCCTTCCCAGCCCTTTTGATTTTGAAGCCTTTCATGAAAGGCAAAATACCCTTCTTTGCCTCATTTGCCTTTGGTCTGTTTTTGTTTKTTCTCTAAGGTCCAGACGTTTGCAGAAAGGATTGTCCTCTTTGTTCTGAACTACGTTATTTTTGGAATGCTGGAAGGGAGTTCAGCTAATGATGCATTCTTTCTACCTCACTCTGCTACTGAGTGTGCCAAGATACTCTGGAGAGAYGGTGAGGCTGCTGCCTTTTATACAGTCAAGATGAAAGGTAAGGTCATTTTAGAGACACATTTCCATTGGCTCCTCATGGCTGGAAATGTGGTGCTTTTGTTTGTCTTCCTGGCTCTTATTTACATTTTTATATTAAATCTCCCGCAGAATGAATCGGGAGAACAAACCTTGCCAAAATATGGAATCCATCCATATTACTTTCATTTATGCATGATGTCTCCAGGTCCTACTCTGTTATACAAAGTGATGTGAGGTACTGCTTTATTCAAATAAAATATGTTTTAATGCAGCCAAGTAAAAGGTTGTACATCTAGGAACAAAGAATGCAGAGGCTGCTGATAGAGTGGAGGACTTTATCCTGGAAAGAATGATATGAACGAAAAAGATGCACTGTTCACATTGCTAAAACAGTGCATCAGGAGTGRGTGGTGGCAGGAAATGGGAATATCTTTGGATGTGTAAGAAACACTTGTTGCTGGATCAGTCCTGGAATGCTTTATCTAGCATTTTAGAAGCATTCTGATGATTAACTGATTTCATCATTAATGGGTTATCTGGCGTAGAAAAGAATCAAAATGTACTTAATGCTTTAGGGATGCTTGCCAAGATAAACCTTAGTGAAAGTTTTATTTTATTTTCTTTTATAAGAGTTTGTATCAATGCAGATATAATACTACTAGCCACTCCAGTGTAGAAAACACCTCATTAGAATAACTACAGATTTGCAGTTGAGTACATGCCTTTATTCAGGAGCTGGTCACCTATCTGTGCTAAAGACTCCGAGGTGTCATCTTGAACTCCAGCAGCTTAAATGTCGAGAACCTGGTATCGTTGGAGGTACAAATGCTGCTGAAGCCAACAGTCAGAAACCATCTGTCATACAAGTGGAGGGGTAGGAACAGGCTGAGTGCTGTGTGAATGGGGGTGGCTTTACATTGCAGAGGACAGTTTCAAGTTGCCATCCCTTGTAGAGTTTAAGGGGCAGCAGCACTAAGAGGTATTTTGCTTTTCTGCTACCTTGGCAGGATAAGCAGCTTGTTCACATTGAGTTGCAGCTTGTAGTACTCCACTCTGTTGGTACAGTGCTACTGCACAGTCAGTGATGAATCATGTCTTAGCCTATTAATAATCTTGTCTGTATCTGCGAATATGCTGATGAGCTCTTTTGTAATTGGGAAACACTTCTATTACCATCATACATTTTCTTTTAAGACTATAAGTATTTCTGAGCAAAGAGTTTGGAGAGAAATGCTTGTATGGGCTGTAATGATTCATGCTTCAGTAAAATAAATGTGCACAGTAGTCTGGTATGGGTGGAGTTTTAGCCAAGCTGAAACGGTTTCTGTGTAAATTGAGAGTCACAGTTTGATTTTAAACCAGGTCCCCATAAAATACAGATTTTTTGAGTCCAGYTTTGTCAGCATCTGTCTTTTGTTGCCAGGGCTTTTTTCCTCTGGGCAGCTGTATTTATTAGGCTTTGGGTTGTGTCACAAAATACTGCAGACTGTTGCCAAAGCCTTTTTGGGAAGCCTGAAACTGATTGTTTTTGTCTTTCTGCTGCATGTGTGTAGAAAATAATTCCCTTCTGAGGTTCTGTGATTACAATTTCATAGCAACCATGCCCTGGCTGATCCTAGTCTCTGTGTATTGTATAACGTGCATGGGTTTTTTAGGCCCCAAACCAGCTCAGCTAAATATCTTTTTTAGCCTAACGTATTCTTTTCCCTTTTACTTTTTGGTCAGAACATTTAGGAGAGGCAGCTTTGTGTACAGGACGTTATATGATGCTGCATCTCTTGTTACGACTTCTATAGCTAGGAAGAAATGAGTTGCTGTGCCCACCATGAGATTGTGATTCTCTTTATTTCTAAGCTATGCAATTGCCTGGCCATTCTCCATGGTTTTATATTCTTCACGAGGTACTTGACCTGCTTACACTGCATTCAACTCTGCTTGTGTTGTATTCAGCTCTGTATTTCTCATCTGTGAATATTCCACTATCCACTGTATGATGCACAAAAAAACAAACAAACAAAAAATCCTGAAAAAAAAAMCCAAACAAAAAAACCCGAAACCTACATGCTTCAATGGAGCCAGATAAGCCAGTATGGGTCTGTGGAGCGTGGTGATTTCCAATGTGAGTCATGCAGGTGAATCATAGAAGCAGGTGACCAAGGAGGAGACTGTTTGTTCTGTCTTTGCTACAGATTTAGACCAAATTTTCACGTGGAATCCAGTGATCCCAATTAGCCAGCATGGCAACATTGTAAAGGCTTCCCCATTCAGTAGTTACTTGGTGGTCTGTGCAAAGTGACCTTGATGATGGTGGTCTGGCTCCACACATCTGCCCACCTTAAAAACGCCCTTCATTGGGTCTCCTTTGGTTGTCTGGGTAGAGAGGGACRTGCAGTGCTGAGCACCTGCCCTGCTGCTGCTTCTGCTTGGAGACACAGTAAGTACAAGCCAAGTTTGTGAGACACTTTTTGGCAACTGCTGACAYGGGTCGCCCTGCACCTGTTGTGTAGATAAACAGAAGATTCATTCTTCAAGACTATCACCTTTCGTGAGCATCGGACACCTTTATTAAAGCAAAATTTATTCATGACTACACAGATCATCACCCTAACCTCTCCGGCATGTGCTTWGTCCTGCCCAATTTCAGGCATGCAGCATTTACCATGCAGTGCCCTAAAGATTGATGAGATGTACTAAGCCACTAATGAGGCTGATAAGATACTTTGTCACATGCCAAGATAAATGTCGCCAATTTTATCTGTGTCAGCAGCTTCCAGGTTACGCAGCTAAGGAGTTCAGACCTCACTGGATGTAGCTACTTAGAGGTAAAATGGAAAATGACCGAGTTTCTTGTCCCCTGAGACATGTTCGCTTTAACCTCAGCATCTTTCTTGGCAAACAGCAGCCTGCAACACTTCAAGTGTTTTGCGGAAGACAAAACTAAGGTTTTTCAATGGATACTTTGGTTTCTGTTTTATATTTCTTTTGAATATTCTCTTCAGCTTTTTTTCTTTTTTTTTTCCTCTAGGCATGCTTTATTTTTTTGAAAATCTCAGAATGTGTTTTGTGTGGAGGATTGATGACTAAACTTATTGACAAAATATTTTTGTACAGTTGGACCTTATAATTCTGTTTCTATGTAATGAGGATTAGTAATCATTGAAGATGTATTTTTCCTCACATTAGTGAACAGTAGTCAGGAGACTGTGGAAGATGCATCCTTAAGATAAGTCAGTAAGGATGCCATAAACCAAGGGTGTCTTTGTCATTTCAAAAATAATGCAGAAGAAAWACCCCTTTGATATACAGATAAACAATCTCAAATTTTCTACTCTTACATATTGTTGTTTCTATTATACATAGGAGCTACCAAGTCATGGGCCAAGGTCTTCAGTGGTACAAAGAGCAAAGGAGTCAGAATGTCAGGGTTTGTCAAGAGCTTCCGTGCTCTTTCTGTCAAACACAGTACAAGAGTGGAGAAAGATGGGATTTTTTGTGGCATAAGGTAAACCAGCCTTAATATAGTGTGTACTGGGCCTCTGAGAAGGCTTTAAAGCTTGGAGTTGAACCAGAAGTAAGTGCATTTTTGGCTTCTCATTCATTCTTTGTAGATGATCCATAAATCACCCTTTGGAAGCACCTGACCGCACAAAAAAATCTAAGCTGAAGTAGGCAGTGAAGCAGCCCTGGCTCCTGTCTGCTTTTGGGCTACTCCAAACCTTTGCAAAACGTCCGATGGAGGTGGATGCTGCAGTGTGAGGTAGACGTCTCTGGGGATGCTGCTTGGGGAGGAACGTGTGCTGTCCATCCTCCCTTCTCATCCCTCGCTTCCGGTGGCACTGTACTCTTCGAGCCTCATTTTGCAGTGTTTTCCTGTTTGCTTTCAGTTTTGTCCTTTTCCATGAACAAGAGCAGTGCAGACCTAGCCCTGTTGCCATGTGAGACACTTTGAGCCACATCCCATTTTGGGAGGGAAGAGACAAATTCTTTTCCTCACTGTATTTTTCTATTAAAAAACCTTGCGAGCTGTTTATTGAAATGGAATAGCTACCATTTACATGAGTAACCTGAGTGCTTCAGACATCATAATATATTTTATTGAAGATGGTCTTTGGAGGTGGTTGCCCAAATTGAAAACCATTTCCCACTGTTCTTCTTTACAAGCATTTGCAGACTTTTTTTTTACTAATGTGGTGGTTTAGATGGTTTTTCTCTAGCAGTGGGTCTCCAAAGAGACTATATTCTTTTATTTTCAACTGATTACATACATTTCTTCTAGGAAAAAGAAGGAAATCAGAATTGAAACTAACCTGACAATTAGCTAAAATTTTGTTGGATAATTGTTTTCTTTCTCCATCTGTTTTCTAGCAATAATATTTTTAATAAGCATTTCTGGAGCAGGCTGAAGGTTCTGGCTGTAATAAAAACTAAATGACTACATACCAGTCAAGACATGAATTGATTTAATTTTATTGAAGCCAGAACCTTTGTTTCCCTTCTCACATACAAACTCACACAATGGCTTGACCTTGGGCTCTGTGCAGCAGAAATATTCCCCACCCTTTACCCGAGCCTACAGAAGGCCTGTCCAAACACGTGTGGACCAAGGCAGCTTGTTCAGCAGGGAAACAGTCACTCCCCACGACCTTGTTTTGTTTGGGGCCGTTGGATGTGGGGACAGCGGTGGGTTTTTTTTCTGGCTTGTGGTTGGTTGGGAATGCTGGTGGCTGTCTGCTTTCCTGCCCTTGTAATATCTGTTTACCATTTTGCTGGCTCCTAAGTTGGTCATTTGGCACTCGTGACCTAACCAAACAGATCAAAGGCCTTCAAAGGGCAGACTGCATAAATGCTTCCGTGGCCAAGGCCCTGATTTTCACTGTCTCCTCCCTCGCCCCAAAACTTAGGCTCTGTGTGTTTCAGCAGTTAAACAAACCTCTAAACAGACTGCATGAGAGCCCAGTGGTCACCTCCAGGCAACCATTAGCCTATGATAACCTTTTTGCTGTTGGATGGGACCTAGAGGCAAATGTGCTTTCTTCCAAAGATCTATTTGTTATTTTTATTTCAAACTGCTCTTGACCATGACTTTTCTAATGTTTTCCCATGGACGAGGTGAAGAATGGCTTCRTGGTTGCGGTTTTTTACAGTGCCTTTAGACTTTGCAAGTCTTTGTCTTCTCAACGCAGAATTAGGAGAACAGACATAAATCAGCTGCTGGGATTGCTACACAACAGTCTTATAAGGATTTATAGGAGTCAGACTACATGAGATAGTAATGAACTTATAAGGACACATGTAGGAATTCTTAAAATATTGACTTCATGAGGAAAAGTTGTCCTTTTCTTAGAACGTATGGTGCAACACTGCTGGAACTGAGCATTTCTGCTGGGCTGGCAGCTAACAGTGAGGCTGGGGATGCACTCAATTCCTTGGCTAATGAAGAAAGAGTAACTACACATCATGTGTTGCAAATATTGAAAGGTTATAAACATCCCCACAAACCATCCTTTTCCAACAATGTGCTTGAACATGTGTTTGAAGTTAAGCGTGCACTTTGATTAAGCAGTGCTAGACCAAGGCTGGATGTGAATGGAGTGGTTGGGAATGCAGCTACATACTCCGTCATATGGCTGGGGATGTGTGACGTGGATTCCTGCTAAAAGGAGAGCTACAGCCTTGACAAATCAGTGTGTAGACCTGAATATATTGGTGTGTGTTTTGCTGAATCTGTATGCTAGGGAAAAGAGTGTTCAGTCAGGCCCTGCAACTATCAGCAAGGAGTACTCCGTTCCCAAGGAAGAGATATAATCTTCTGTTTAAGATGATTATATGATGAGATAAAATAGGTTACAATCAAAGTCTTGATATAAACTTGAGAGCCTGAAAACGAGATCAGGTGGTACATTAGGTAGTGCTGTAAGGGAGAAACTCAAGGGTGAGACTTAACCAACAAAGTAAGAAAATGCCATCTTGTCAGCTTTTTCCTGGTATGAAGGAACCATTTCTATTAAAACTGTGATGTATACTGATATAACATGCAGAGAATCTTCACAAATACTTTTAAATAAAAAAAAAAGCATCATCAAKAGGTTTCTCTGGTGATTTTTTCCCCTGTATGTAGGTAGATGGAAACACTAGTAGCAATTATTTATTTTGGGGTTAAATGCTTTTATTTCCAAATAGTTTGAACTTCTATTTTTTTGTGGCATTTTGTGCTTTAAGGAAGTTGTACATAAAGTTCCCCACGCACCTCCTGCAGTCAGGCCCTGAGTTGTTCAGGGTGAACATTGAAAGTTTGGACCCTGAATGTCTGTTCTTAATTAACTTTCTCTTGACTCCAATTTGAGTTTATGATACATGATTGCAAAATAAATCCCTTGGTGCTGGAACTGTTTTGTTTTGGACGGTTTTAATTGAGAAGTGGTTTAGTCTCTTCATCTGGAATCTTACACTTGAGTGTATATTTTGTCCTTAAAAGAGCATTTAGACTCTTACGTCATGTCCTCACGATTTCAAGTGACTGACTTAATGCGTTTATTAGCAAGGCCTGTCCTTGAACAAAAGCCCTGATTTCACAGGGGTAGTAGGACTTGAAGCACATACATACAAAGACAAGTTACCACGATTTAACTGGAATTAATTGACTTGCAAAGGAGCAGTTTTTGCTTACAACACCACTTACAGTAAGTAGTTACTATAAAACCAGCTTATGTTTTTATAGTAAATACCCTCAATTATGGTCTTCCCTTCTGCCACAGAGATCCTGAGAGGGGGGACAGGCAGGGATCTGCTTCCAGTTTTAGAAGGAGTAATCCCCATACTTTTATGTGGCTCTTTTCCCAGTGAAGGTTTGAAGATGGCTCCTGATGGCATGTGCTGAGATGTAAAAGTAACTGAAAGACTTTCGTGGAATTGTTTATGGTTTAGAGTAGATTTGGGGTTAAAACACTACTTGAATATGCAATAAAAGTATGTAACTTTCTGACCAATAGTTGTGTAGACAAGATGAAACTGTAAACGAGAGAGCCAGGCAAGAATCGTGCTTCACAATATTATCCTGTTTGGGGAGGCCCAGCAGCAAGGGGTGCCGAGGCTGACACACACACTCTTCTTTCCCTGGGGTCAGGGTGAAATTGCTTGATCAATATTGGAGTTTTCTGTGGACGCTTTTGCTGCTGTCCACTTGCAGCCTGCACCTTCTGGTTGTGCTGCGTTGGGTGCTTCTGTACATTTCATAAGTTAGTTGGGCTGACTTGCCAGAATAATCTAAAACTATTGAGCTTACTTTTTGGAGTATTTATCCCTCTTTAGCTGTAACCCAGTTAGATTTTTTCAGCTAACTTCCCCGTATACTGAGGCAGCCTGAATATGAAGAATCASTCTGGAAACTGCTGTAATGAGTCCTATCAACTCAATGTTAAGCACGTCCTCTCAGCCCGATGGCCCAAGTCTTCCTTCTGGAAAACGGTTTACGTTTTGTTTGTAATCACCACTTTCGGTGCGATTGCGCTTCAGTTGGAGGTAGCATGTAGAGAGCTATGAGAGCAGTATTTGTGGCTCACAGGAGTCCTACGGGATGTTTTAAGTGCAGTAACACTAATTTCATTTTCAAATTTGTGTATCTCTTACTCTCTGCTTTCAGGAAGCCTTTGTGATGATGTTACCAGTCAGTGTTATTTGCTACCAGTTTTGGATACTATATTTGTCCAACGAAAGTACAGAAGAAGTGGCCTAGGGATGAAAATGCTGCATGATTTCTGTCAGTCTTTCGTGGCTGAGGATGCCTTAGGGATCAGCTGCCCTATTTCTGCTGCCATGTATCAAGGTAAGTCATTTGACGTGGAAACATCAGGTAAGGGTCATGTATAATAAATAAATTTCAATATAGGTTTGGAAGGATTTTCTTAGTTTGGAAGGATTTTCTTGGTTTTGTGCATGCATCTAAGCTGAAAGGTAATGTTGTTAGCGTGCAATTGGTTACTTGGATATTTGGAATTTTCCTGAAATTTGGAAGATAGGCCGATATTTATGTAAGACAAAGAGAAACATGAAGCTCAGTTTTCCATGTTTGGCATTTTGCATTCTTATTACACTGTCTATAAGAAATAGAACAATGTTATTATACTAGACAGTGACAAGCAGTGCACCTGAGCTCTGCTCATTCATCTAGTCTTGTCAGTACTTGTTTATCTATCTGTGAACATTTGTCACTTTTAAAAACTTGTTAAATAGTTGTATATCCTTCTCTGCTTTGGTTGGAGTTATGGCTTTGGTAGTAAAATTTACAGAAAATATCCCTGATAATACTATTTATAAAACTGTCCACTTGAGAAAAAAATCATGAAGCCTGTTGTCCCATGTGTTCTATAGAGATTTTGCAGTTCRTTTGGGGGGGTTTCTATCAAATAAAGCTTTGCAGTCATTTCCTAGTAACCATCAACAGACTTTTAACTGCATGTTCTCTCTCCTGGTCTATATGGGCCAGTAAATGTATGTAAATGCGTCCCAGGAGTTCCTAAGATATTGCTACCTCTAAATTCAGAAAAGAGCAGTATCGACATCATTCTTTTGCTCAATTCAGCTAAAACAATTTGTCCTTTTGTAGGCATCCAATGATTTAGTGAGTATGGATTAGAAAGCTGTGCTTATGTGAACCTAGTGAAATGTTGCAAGGTTATGCTTTTCATCTCAGTTAAGTACCAAGTTAATAGCAAAAAAAATTAACTTGTATCTTATGCTAATGAGGATTTCTGGGTGAAATTTTTATAAAAATACTAGCACTGTCAGTTAAATATTTACTATATTAGAAGATTTACACTGCCTTTTTAATCTTTCCTTGGAACTGCAGTTGGAACTTGGACAACTTGGACAGTGGAATGCAACCTTTTACTCTAAATTTCTGCTCTGAATATGAGCTGCTTTCTCTAGCATTTTACTTCATGTGGTATCGATACCTAAAAGGGGGTAGAAAGTTCCCTTACAAATATCTGAATTCTGGTATGATACTTTCAGTAGTCTTTACTGAAGTGCTTAATTTAGATTATATTCTTGGTAGAATTAATGACTTTGATATGCTCATTACTAGAGGACAAATATTTACATACCAGAATTGAAATTTATGTTTTGGCAATCAATAGTTAAATTTAAGTGAATGTCGAAGATGAATAACCTCTCTGAATTCATTTGGCACCGTGATGGACTATAGTGGAAAGAGGAAAGCGTGAAGAAAATTCTGGTGCTTACAGATTGCCCTCTTAGTTCTTGAGTCTATAGAAAATGGATGAAAGTTCAAAATCCCCATTTTTGATCAGTTTGGTCTTGCACCATATTCCTTCTTTTGACCCTTCAGGTGTCCTGGAAAGCCTCTAAATAAGAATTTCAGTTTGATAAGATAAGCAAATCAGAATTGAAGAGTTTATCCAAATTATACTAATGTTCTAAGTACACAGACTGTGTCAGGAGTCTTTGGCAGTGTGTTTGTAATGGAAGATGTATATTTGACACCAGGTATCCTTGCTATTCCCTGTCAAGTGTTCTTATTTCATGTGCCTCCCACCCCTCCTCGCCCCCAGGGAAGCAAATTACCCCCAGCAACAGAATAAAAGGTAGAAGTAGAAAACTGCTTGGCCCAAGAACAATCTGATATAAATTTTCTGTTCATAAATCGGAAATTGGAGTAGCCTTCTTAATGATCAAAGCTGGGAGATACTGAAATGGCTTTCGTTGCAGAGTAGTGAGGGCAAAAGACTCACACTGGAACCTGATAAGGGCCTGGAAGCAGTTTGGAAATGCAGTGGCTGCAGAAGTGATGCCTTGATGGCCCAGTAAGTCATTTCAAGTCCTGTATTTCTGCACTCGGAAGATAGTAATGTAGACCAAAGTAGATGGATGGAGCTTGCCCATGTCCRTTTGGGCCATTCCACCTATATTTTCTGTACAATTTCTGACTAAGAGAGAAAAGGATAAGAAGAGAGAATATTTCCATAGACACTAATGAAAGTCGTTCATCCTCAGAGAGGATTTCCAAGCTAGGCATTATACTTCCTCTTGTGTTGTACTTTTCACTCATTTCTGCTTTTGCCCTTTGGTTTCTCTTGTTCAGTTTGCCAGAAATTCTTGCAGATTTATCCTGAGGAGCAGAATCGACTGTGGGAGGTGGAAGCACCAGGAGACTGGAGCCAACGAGTGAATATCTGGTTAAAACTTCAGATGGAGTCRGCCCTTTCAGAAAGTGAGTTAAAATGAACACCGTGAATTTGGCCGTGTGAGTTACATAAAGATAAGAATTAAAATCAAAGCTTAGGAAGAATCAAAGAATGATTTTTTTTCTTTTGTGCGTAGAGAAACTTCTCAATGCGCAGTTCAGTTCACTGGTCCTTTTACAGTAAACAGGACCATTCTTCGAAATTATGAGGTAATGAAACTGAGAGGCAGAGCATCTGTAAGATACAACAAAGCCAAATCCTGGAATAAAGTGACTGTAAGTCCCATTGCACTGTGCTTTCAGCTGGGTAGAAGTTAGCTCCCAAAAAGTTCTGTTGCACAACACAATGTCTGGGTTGGAGAGAGGGTTTGTTTCTCTCAATTATTACAAGGAGAAATTTCTATGGCCAATAGGCAATGTGTTTAATTGCTGCCAGAACCATTCTCGGGTGGAAACACAAGCATTTTCATTATGGCATTTGGAAGATTCAAAGTACTGTCCTAAGGGGTAAATCCTTCTTGCTGGGAGCATTTTTGTCTCCTTTACAGCAGATAACAACCGAGGAGGAAACCTTTCTGATGGTTCACTTGGGGATCTTGCTCATGTTGTCTGTTCAGCTATTCTTGGGATGCAGACAGGCCCCTCTGCTGCCTGCACACAAGCTGTGATCAGCCCTGGGTCCCAAAAAAGGGCACACTTTGTCCCTTGCTGGAAGTGTAGCAAGGAGTGCTGCAGAGCAAATTGCTGCCATGCCTTCCCACATCTGTCTTGCTTTGTACTGGCTTGGGGACCTTCAGCTGAGACATTGCGTTTCATCTTGTCTGCAGAACYCCACAGGAGACTTAAGTCAGAATCTTGCCCCAGGCTGGGTTCCTCTGAAGCCATTATATTTATGGCTCTCATGCTTTAAACCAACAAATACTGGTGTTGCTCTTTCCTTTAATTCGTCTTGCTCAGTTCAGTTTCTTATAGCAATTGCAGGGAGGTGTGATCAGATTAGGAAACAGAAAGCTCATGGAGGAGAGTGTGTGTATATATATGTATACACATATATAAATATTATATATATTTTTAGTATTGTGATTTTATATAAAAACGAACAAGCAAGGAAAAAAAGAAAACTGATCTCCAGATAAATACGATCCTATCTAAATGGATGCCATTCAAAAATACAAGTGAAGCTTGGGAACTACTTTGAGCATTTCTTCAGGTAATTGAGATATTTCTATTTACAAAAGGACAAAGGAGGAAGTTCTTCTATGTAAACTAAAAGTCGGGGTCTTTCATATATAAACTGTGAACCTTAGTGTGATCTTAATAAAGGAACAGAGTAGAAGCACGTAGACCTGCCACTAAAATTCATAATAAAAAAATCTGCCTTCTAAATGATATTGAGTCTGGTGCACAGCTCATTGGGGATCACCTTCTTAGACACAGAATGTGCTGAGTAGACTTTATTTCATCTATCTTCAGAGGAAAATCAACTCACTGTAAAAACAGTGTTTAAAATGTGTGGGTGTGAAATACAGGTACTATATTTGTATCACATATGGAATCTGCTCCTGTGCTTCTTGTGCTTGTATTATCCCAGTACTACATGTGTCATGCACCAGGGAAATATGAAAGAAGAACACAGAAAAATTAACACCTGTTAAATGTAGGGGAGAGCTTCCCTGCCTTTCTCTGGTCCTAAAGTCAACGTTGTGCCTGCGTAATTCCCTCTGATATCTTGGGAAAAACAGGAGATTTTTCCATGGCTTCATACTATCTGGTAATACCAGAAAGAGCAGAAGTATTTTAGAGGGTGGGAGTCCTTTGTTATTTGCACTCCTCGAGGATCCMTCTTGCTGCTCACCAATAATGCAGAGAGAAGCTTGTGTTGCTGAAGTTGTGCTGTACAAACACGATGAGGAAAACACTGTGGGATAGAATGGAACTTGCTGGAGTTGTACCCTTACCTGCTCCTCATCCACAGTCATTTGGATTTTTGTGGGACATTTGGGAACACAAAACCTTCAGTCTTCTTTTCTTTGTTATGTTGAGAGCAAATCACAATGTAATTCAGGATTGTCACACCCTATCTGGATCTATGGCAACAACTCCGTGAATAAGCAGGTCTCATTCTGCTCTTAAATCCCCATCCACACGTGCAGTGCTATGGTCTGGAACAAAGCTAATGAGGAAAATACTGGAAATTTTGTTTATGCCACATTGTTTTCAGGACTTGGAATTTAATTCTATTAATACTGTTGTAAGAATTGTACAGACATGTGTACTTCAAAGAGTCAAAGGAGGTCAAAATCTTAAAATTTGCAAGGTTATGTGGCTGCATCTAGTGGCAGTACAGATAAACTGCAGCGCTCTGTGTATTGCCATAATACATATACATATACAAATACATAAACATTTATCTATATCTSTTTCTCTATACATGTATGCATATACCTCTAATAAGGCTTTTTAGTGTGTCATCACATATAGCTACAATTATTCAATCTGAATTAGTTACTCCTTGCTTGAAAATAGTTTTATTTACAGCAAATAGTCCTGGTAACAGAAACACAGCAGTAAGTATCTCCTGGGGCAGATTGGATCAACAGCAGTCATTTAATATGATTATATGTTTGGGCCGTAGTTGCTGGCAGTGAATTAAGTTGTTATGAAGTAGTTTGGTAATATATAAAGCATAAATGTGAAGCTAATGTGTAAAATAAGCAGACTAAGCAAGAATTAAAATCAATTTCAAATGACCCTTTTATAACCCTTTATGTTGGTCAGAATATCTGTATTTCCTGAAAGGGAGTTAAGGRATATGTTGTTTGGGAGTGCTGGAGATAAGCAGACTCTCCATTTAACAGAACTTTCAAGCTATTAAAAAGCCAGAGATGTTTTGTTTCTAGTGTGRGTGTTCAGCTCAGGGAATAAAAAATAAGATTCTTGGATTAAAATAGTACTCTCTTGCATTAGGGCAGTAGCACCATCTTGGCTATGGTAGTGAGGTCGCTACAGTTCAGTATCGTCTCTCTGATCTTCATCTCTTTTTTTTCTTCAAATTGTAATCAAAATCAGATCTACTTAGTGCTACTTTGTTGTTTATTATGAGTTGTAGACAACATACCTCATTAAGATTCTTCTGAAACAGCAAAAATGAGGCATACAAACTCTCTTAAATGTGTTCCATGTGATATTTTCATCTGTGCAGATAATGGAAGCTAGGAAAAGACCATCAAAAGTATTTTCTAAAAAGTTTACAGATGGGAAGTGCTCATGCAGAAATTGAAAGATTGCATCTACAAAATATGCCACTATATGGTGAGGTTAATTGGTAGGTTTGAGAACACTTTGAAGGATGGAACTTATAAATATATAAATGTCGTTCAGGTAGCTACTAGAGAACTGTTGCAGCCTCCAGCAGGTGCCATTGGCTTGTCTGGCAGTGTCATCTGTGCCTCCTGGTTTCGTTAACCAAACCTTGGAGATCTACAAAGGTAGCATTCAAATATGTTTTTGGAGGGTGTTTTTAAGTGAACTGTTGCCACAGTTACACTAACATATTTTCATCTTGATATWTTTTTTTTTTTTCCCTAGGAAAAGCYATTCACCTTATTTCTCCAGAGGATGAAGAGGGCTCTCAGGTGGAGTATGCTCAAAGTAGTAAACTCAGGCAATTGGATACAGACCATATGAGTACKGTACAGTGACTGATTTATCATTTCTTTGTTCTGCTTTTTCATCTTCATCATTGTGTTTATCCTTTTAGTAAAGTAGCAAGATTTAAGTATGAGACACTGCCATGAACACCTATGGGTGTTTCCCTGATGGCCTACTCCATAGTGGTTTGGGAGGCTAGGTGACCCAGGACATTTCACATTAAATGTTTTGGTTTGATTTGAGCTGTAAGCAAGCTAGCATACAACAAACTCCGAAGATTATGTATGGAATGGCCTTTTCACCTGAACTGTGTTTTTTCCTATACTTATACAACAGCTCAAGTGTGACACCTTCTAGAGTGAGGTAGCCACGCTCTTTACAGTGCTAATTGTTTTCTCCCACTACTGAGCTGTAGATTTGAGTATGATTAGGTGTTTTTTTTGCATAACGGAAGACTAGAGCAGGCAGAGAGATTTGAATGGACCCGTTCACCCTAAACCTAGTCAGGAGAACTTACACCCGAGGAAAGAAATCACAATAATGAAGCTTTCTCAAGTAGTAAAGCAAAAGGAAAGAGGAGTGGAAGCAAAACAAAGAGCTGTAGGGGTTGTTTCCCCAGCACATTTGGGTTGCTGCACAACAATTAAATCAGTTTGTTTTCTTCAGATGTGGGTCTCCTGGGGGAGCTAGGGCAGCACTGGCCCCTGTGGTGCACACTCTTGTGTTACGTGCTGTGGTCGTGGCTTCAGARCCCACCCAGTCAGATCAAGGCTCCACGAACTCCCAGTTTTCTTTTTGCTGACACTTCTGGGAACTCAGGCAGAGCAGTGGGAATAAAACTGTTCTATACAAACAGTGTGGCTAAGCTTCTTGCCTTGCATGTTTATGGTTGCCTCGGTTGACAAAGGCATTTTATATTAGGATCAAGTCCTGTTTTTTTTTTTTTTTTTTKTGTGTGTGTGTATAATTTGATCTTCCCTGTGTCTCGATTCTAATTTCAGGGCGTCGAATACATTTCTGGGGTTGGGAGAGCAGCAGAAGATGCCATAGAAAATAAAGATGACACAGCAGCAGCAACAGCAGCAACAAGCATTCAGAACCCACCAGATCCTGGACAAAAGGAYTCAGAATAAGGTGCAGATGATACTCAGCAAAGGATTCAAAAAAGAGCAGGTTTAACTGGAGATAAGGTTAGCAAATCACTCAGAATTACACCATAATTTCACTCTCAAAAAAGAGCAAAATCAGAGTGCATTTTTTTTAAAAGATATAATTGACTGTTTATAATTTGTAACACCGGCGAGTTTTCTTCAGGTAAGACAGGGGGTTTTTTTTGTTTTTTTTTGCAAAGCACATGTTCTCCATCTTGTGTGCTGTTTTAAATAAAGCTCTTGTTTGTTAATTGTCCTTTTCTTTTTCTTCTCACCAAGTAATTAAATAGTAATTGAGCCTGCTCTGAAAAGATTTTAATGGATTGCATGAGATGTCCAAAAGGGAGTAATCGGAAGGCTTGTAGATACTGATGTAAGAAGATATTTCTATGGAAACCACATCCTGCATTATGGAAGAGAGATGCTGCAACATGAGTTGGTATCAGAATGACAGCTGTAACCTTCCTTTCAAAGAGAACAATTGATCTTGAATTGCTTTCATTTGAGCATTTCTAGTAGAAAAATCTGCCTTGAACCCTGTAGTGGATAGAAGGGCGTACTAACTCTGTAGTCTACATTAATGCACAAAAAGTTTGGTATAGAGAGAAAAAGTAAACTGTGGAGTAAACAGTAAACTGCCTTTAAGTTCAGACACTGTGATCATACTACATGTATAATTTTATGTATAATATGCACAGAACTTTGCATAGATTACGGATTGCATGTTTTATTAAGTGTAGACTGCTTTCTACTGTTTTGCATTTGATAAACTTTAAAGTATGACATATTACGCCTGCTATGGCTTGGTATAGAAATTTTATTCTTACAGCATGAGATAATTCTGTATTATTAGTGAAGAATCTCTAATGCTTTACTGTTTAGCAAAACAAACCCACAGTGTAAAGCAGTACTTAAATGTGTAGTACAAAATGGCCAGTTTCCATAAGAACATCAAATATCTTCCTTAGTGGCACATTACACCACGAATATTTACTAATGGTTAAAGGTGAAATTTTAATTTAGTCTTTGGTGGGGAGAAGCTGTGCACAAAGGTGAGTTGGCTGGTGCATGGAAGTTGGGTCTTGATGTCAAGTTGGGCTATCGAATGGTTTCAGCAGCCCATGATTCTTAAGTGGTTGCCTTGGAACAAGGACGGATAACTGTTTGTGGAAACTAATTTAGGGAGGCTGTTCTATAGGCAGGGTATGTATTGTAAGGATGAATATTTTTCACCCCTGAGCTGCCTAATTCCTCACCTGTAGCCATCCTGGTTCTGTGTAAGGACCAATAGGTTGTGATTCAGCATAACATTCAGTCCTATAGAGGACCTTTTTAGACATCTCTTCCAAAAAAAAAAAAAAAAAAAAAAACCCAAGGGGGTGGGGGGATGGAGGGAGGGAAGAAAGAAAAAAAATCTATAATTGGAACTTTCAAGTTTTTGCCAAGAAAAGTAAAACACTGAATTGAGTGCCAGCCTTAATTGTGTTGCTATGGTTCTTTTGTCTCAAGGAGATATGTTTGGGGCTAACTTCATACTTGGGTATSTCTGGGAGATGGAGACTGATAACTGATTATGAAGGTGGTTGGTTATCTGATTATTGGCTGACCTGTCAAGTTGCAAAGGCTGTGAGAAGCAGTGTCCTCTTGCCTAGTGGCCTACATTCTGATTTATCTGAATGTATGTATCTGATTTATCTGTCTGATGTATGAATAAATACATACTTTTTTAAATACAATACATACGAAAAGTCCTGCAGGTCCTGATTACAGCTCTCTTCATGGTAGTTGATTCTTGAATCTCATTAGCCCACTCCTGGAAATTAATTTGCACAGAGCAGGCTGCATTATAGTTGTCAAGGTAAAGGAAATAAGAATTGTTTTCAGCAAGTGGGGATTATTAGTAACTTTTGCCTCACTTGAATCTTTCAAGAAAACTCCTGTCAAAGAACACAGCAAAGGACACAGCAAACTTCATTTGATTTTGTGTTAGAAAAAGATGGATAAGATACTAGATATGGATTGTGCAAACATCTATTTTAAATAAATTTGTGCAGGAGTGGGATACTTGAGTCAGAGGAAAAGACAACAATCTTTCAGTATTCCCAAATGAATGGGATTTCTCTTTGTCTCTAGTATCTAGGGGTCTACTGTCCACTTTAACAGCCATTTTACTGGTTGTTCTTAGAGARAAGTTGCTTCTTTTATAACCATTTTATTCTTTTGTTGCCATTCACCTTCTCATTTTCCAAATAACATTTCCATCATAAATGATCATGGTGGCAACTGGGCATATCACAGAATAGYGCAAAGGTGCAGTCAATGAAATGGTATTGTCAGACAGCTGGATGCCTCCTAATCAGAGAGAGATTTGGAGCTGGACCTCTCCCTTCCTTTTCCATAGCAAGAGGTAACCCATGGTCATGTCATCTTTCCAAGCTTGTGACAATTAGAAATGTTCTACATTCAGCTCATCTTTCATTTCTTTTTTTTTCATATTAGTGCTCTGAGGTATCTGATGAATTTAGATGCTTGGGCCTACAAATTGCTGTTGGAAGCCTGAAGCACTTAGTGAGATCACATCATCCCTAGGAAAGTCTGAAGTTAAAGCAGGAATAGATCTTTATTATGTCATCTTTAGTATGTTAATAGAGTACATTAGAAAAAAAAAMCACAAATATTATCTTTGTCTCGCAGTGAAAATTCAGGAGATAGGATAGGATGGTTTCAGACTGCTGGAAGAATTGGCGAAGAGCAACCATTCCAATTTCTGAGCTTAGGTTTCAAAACCTTTGATTTTATTTCTCTCTGGATCTGTGCTCTGGAGCTCGTGGTTTGACACAGTGACATTTCTGCTGAAGAAGTGAGGTAAGTTTGTGTCTGTGTGTGTCAGAGAGAGATGGAGAGATGGCAGAACTGCTGAAATGAGGTTTGCGYCTATCATTCTTATAGGCTATAGGTACTTCAATCTGGCTACAAGTAAGATGTTGGACATACGTTAAGTTAGCAGTGATGTCGAGGTGTGTGAGCCAGCCAAATATTTTTTTTTTAATTACTCTTGAAAAAAGGAAACATATAGATTTTAAGATGAGATATTTCATTATGCTCATCTGTTGTGATGTCTGACATAGTATAAGCCAGACAGTTTCATGTATGGTTCCTGTATCAAAAATCATTGGGTTTGATTGCAACAACTTGTTTTTTACAAAGATAATTTTGATTTGACAGTTTTGAATTTCAGTTGTAGAGTAGTGGGAGATCTGCCACATTCCTGGTCAATCTGCTCTAAAGTTTCATCATGTTTCCAAGTGCACCTGATACTATTTTTCTGATTTTTTTTTTTTTTTTAATTCTTCTGTGTTGGATTTTTCCTCTTTAATTCTGAGTGACAGCTCTGGCACTGTCAGGATTCCTTCTATATGTTATGATCCAATCATGGCTTCAGTGAACAATGTTGAATTTCTTGGGGTCCATTTTTGTTAGGTAGATTTACCTGAGCTTGAAGCATTCTCCTTGCCTTTTCAGAGACATTTTTTATTTTCTAAATTCCTCCTAGAAGCCTTGATCATCAAAGACCRGAGGTCCATCCGTGGTATTGCTGACCATTGCGTACTGACATTGCTGCTCAAGCCTGTGTTTATAAAATCACCACAGGATTCTTGCACTCTTTTAGATGCAGAATTGTGGATTTTCAGTACTGATTGTGAACCTTCACTGTAAAATTGAAATGACATAGAAGAATTAGGATGTATGTATTCCAGTATGGTGTTTTTGATGGTTTCAGTGCCTGCCACCAACTACAGATATACGTTGAACGCATCCAATGTTATCTTTGTTACGACCACGAGATGGCACCGTTATATAGYTTAACGTTGCCGTCATGTCTTGGGTGCTTGAGATACTTGCCGAGTTTTCAGTTTGTCGCTCGTTGGCTTGACTTCTTAAGAGAAGGGTTACTAGTTCAGAGAAAGGAAGATTAGGGTGCAGTAAAGCTTGTCCTCCTGTTTGCTATTTAGGTTCAATGAATCTGTGAATTGTATCTTGAGTGGTCCAGAGTTAATACTGTCAAATGTTTGTGAAGCCCAATTAAGCTATAGAGTAGCACAAAATAAGCTATAGAGTAGCACAAAATGCAAACTGCAGCCAGGCTGTGTCCCTTTGTACTCCTGTCTCAACAGAAGCCTGAGCAGGACTTTCTCCAGGTTGTATTTCAGTTTTCCAGCACTGGATGATACTACCTCCATTCTCAGTTGTGTTTGACAGATAAGTTAGTGTCCTTTTTAGTGTCCTTTCCTAAGGATGAAGAAGAGAGGGAATAGTCTAAACTTCATATCTTCCCATGCCCAACTGTATCCTTGCTAAGATTCACATATCAAGGATGCTGCAAATGAAGAAAAAAAGTAACATCTAAATAGAAGTTCCGTTTGGGCAAACCTAATATGCATCTGCATAAGGAAAGAACATGTCAAGCTATACTTAGTTGTTTGGTTTTGTCTTGGTCCTTCCTTTATATATATAAACTTTGTTATGGATGAGCATGCAATGAAGTCTAAACACACAGAAGACAAAATTAGAAGTTTGTAATTAGCCTCCTTTTCAATTTGTTTCCTCTTGCAATCTGACTTGATGGTAAAGTTCCAGTTCAATCTGCTCTCTTTGCCTTAGACGTTATCCTTGCTCTGCACTGTTGAATTTTTCTGTTGTGAAGGTTGCTTTTTTCTTTTTTCTGTGGTGTTTTTGAAGCAATCTTTTTGATTTTAATTTAAACAGAAGGTTCCATTTTTGGAAGATCAATAACCTCCATCTGGAAGGATTCTTTTCTCACAGCCACCAGACACTCAGATGAAGTTGAACTTTTTCCCCCCCCCCGTTCTGAGTAGGGAGATCAGAGGTTGCCTTCACCGTGATGAGTACATTTGGGGTTGTCATTATTCATTCACAGGCATCTGATTTGTAAATTAATAGCTCAGTCTCTGAGTTGTATTATGTGAAAGGTCAGTGTCTATGAGAGGGAGCACTTTGGAGCTCTGTGTCGTGTGGTCAACACGAGTGACCTCCGCTTAACGCTTTTGCTCCATGTTGCTTTTAGAAGATACAGATGTGCACCCTGCCTCCAGTCCTCCTACCTGCAGCCAGGATCCTCTCCAGCTTTCTGCTGAGTGGGAATAGAGAAGAGGACAACCCTTCCTGAAACAAGTAGCTGAACTGACTAATTTTCTGTGTTATTCTGTGCTTGGCATGTGCCGTTGCTTCCAAGCTTGTGATGACTGTCTTAACTAAGATGCATTTTAGATAAATCCTGTCTTCAAGCTGCACAATATGAAAAAAGGCATCCGCCTCCCCCAGCCTCTCCAGATCTTGGGACTGGCTCAGTCTTTTTTAAAGCTATTTCTCTTGTGCTGCATGCAGAGCCCATCTGCTCTAATGCAGACTGAAATGCTGCTTTTATTCTTGTTTGCGTAGAAGGTTGCTGGGTAAATCAGTTGGAGTGAAAGACATATTGTGCCTCTTTGCTCTGTCACAAGCACAAATATCTTCCTTTTAAAGCTTCTCTTGGTAGAAGCCAAAGCCTTTGGCACAAGCCACCTCTGCTAGTTTGACCCCTTTTGTGCCTGTGGAATGGAGGAACAGCTCTGAGAAGTGCAGAACAAAACCAGCAAAACAGCAAGAGAAAAGGTCAAGAAGGGGTCTTGCTCCCTGTAGACATCAGAAGTTTCTGCAAGATGATATTTAGCATGTCCTGCCTGA